TGTTCCATCTCCACCGAGGGCACGTACTTGTGCATCTGAAAGAGCGGAGAGTCTGACGGGATTCCAGCAGACTGGAGCGCCTCGTCCCACCCTTTCTTGAAGAACACCTTGCTATTTTCCTCAAGAGCGGTGAGCACGTCATCGGTAAACTCTTCTCGGAGTTGCTCCTCGGACTTCCTGTTCTGCGCCTCTGCCCTGATCCTGTCTAGCTCCTGGGTCAGAGCCAGACAGCTTTCCTCTGAGCCAACAACCCTCTCCTCCGCCGCAGAGAGCCGTTGTGTCTGCTCTGTGATCCTCCCCTCAGCGTCGGCAAGCGCAGCACTAAGCTTTTCAGCGCCGACCTTAGCCAACTCAGCATCCTTGAGGAGTTGCTCAATTTGAGCAGCCTACCCTGCGAGGGTGGAATCCCTGGTGGCTACGTCCTCCTTGGCACTAGCAAGGGCACCCTCCGCTTCTTCCTTCTGCTCTCGGACCTGCTGGAGGTCCATCCTAGGCCCATGATACAGCGCCGCTATTATGGAGATCTGTTGGGTGGCCTGCAAAGGAAAAAGCATGTCACTAAAAGGAAAAGCAGCTAAAAAAAAAAAAAGATTGAAGCAAAGATGAAACTTACCACTAGAGAATTCTGGATGATAGAGTGAAACAACACGTTCGTTGATCGCCCCCTGTGAGCCACCATGTCGGCCTCAAAATGCAGCGTCTCACTCACTGCATTGGCGACATGGGGGTCCTGCAAAATGGAATCGTCGACCCTGATCATTCGATTCATGTGATCAGTGGCTCGAGGATTCCACTCCGCGACTTCCACTGTCGGCGGAAGGGGAGGAGGATTCTGCTGTTGCCGCTGCTGCTGTTGCTGCTGTTGTTGCTGTTGTTGCTGTTGCTGTTGTTGTTGTTGATGTTGCTGTTGTTGCTGAGGAACAGGGGGCAACCCACGGCCTCTCCCACTTTGATGCTGAGCGGAGGGGGCCCTGGATCCCCTGCTAAGGCCATCGTGCCTATGTTTGATCCTCCTCTCCTTCTTTACCTGAGGATCCCAGTCACGCACTTAACCCCGACTAACGATTCTTGAGGATGGGGTGGCGCTGGTCCCTATAGATGGGGCCCCACCGGTCGACCCTCGTCCCCTCCCAGCAGCGAGAGCTTGTCTTTGCCTTAGGAACCCTAGATCAATGGGGGACGTGTTGGACATGGCTACCTCGAGGGCGTCCTCGGCGTTTAGAGATTGTAGGATTTGAAAGTCCGGCCACGAATCTCTCCCCGAAGTTCCCACCTCGGCGTGCGCAGGAACCAAGTCCTCTTTGACCCCGAGCTCTTCAACTCTATCCTATACTTCTGCCTCCGAGGCCCGGTCGGGGTCTTCTTCCAAGTTCTCCTCGACTTCTTGCCCCACCGCCTGATCGAAGAGTTCAGACCACCTCAAAGGATCGAAAGGCTGGGGGAAGCTGTGAAAACTTCTTATATCCGAGAGTATAATTCAGGAGGATGTGGGCAGCCCGGCCTAGCCCGTTGGAACCAGTGAATCACCAAACGGTGACTAGGTCTGCAAAATTCACCAACGACCGGGGTGGAGGAGTTATTTTCCGAGGGGAGATGTCTGCACAAGCAAAAAGAGGGGAGTGGGTCATGAGCAAGTAGAAAATCTCAGAAACATAATAATAGACCCGAAGGAACCGACGTACTTGTCTTTCTCCATTCCAATGGGCATAACAAGCCGTCATACTCGGGACCGACACCTCTCTGCCAAGATCCCTTGAAGATGAGTAGGTCATCCTTGTACCCCTTGTCCGAGTCAGGGAGGTGAGTTACGAGGTACATAGATGGGTCCCTGGCTTTGAGGTAGAAGTGTTGTTGAGGCGCAACTCTCAAGAGGGAATAACAAAAAAGGATATCGTTTAGCCCGACGTTTACCCCAAAATGCCTATTGAGCTTTAAGACCCCCATAATTATCCTAAAGACATTAAGGCAACACTGCCCGGGAAAGAGGCGAAAATGAGAGAGGAACTGGAGAAGCAGAGGGGGCAAAGGGAACCTAATTCCACCTTCTATGATGGCTTTGATAAAAAAAGGCATTGCGTCCTCGATGCCGAGGGTACAAGGGTGCACAGCCGGGTCATAATCCTCTATGTCTACATTCGGGGGAACGTTGTACTTAACCCTAAATCTATTAATTTGTTCACCACCTTTTACTTTATACTTCCTTGGCCTCGAAGTACTAGCCTGAGGGTTCTCAGGGGCAGGGCGACGACGAGGCATCTTCAAAAAGTGATAAAAAAATAGAGGGGGTCTTTTCCACAAAGATCCCCAAGAAGGCTTCCTGGGGATTGGTTGCTGAAGGGCAACCAGAAAATACCTCCAGTGATCGGAAAATCAAAAGAGACAGAAGGGTAAAGAAAAGGAAGATACTGGGACTCACCAGAGTATAAAAAGAGGTTTTTTCTGGAAAACTTGAATTGACTCCTTCCAAGAATGTTCAGAAGCAAGGATGGGTCTGCTGGCTTTAAAGCTTCAGTGAAAAGGTTGGGCAGTTGACAAACGGAAGGAAAGAGGTCTCCGGCGAAGATTCAGGCAAGGGCTCTCTGTGAAGAAAAGTTCAGAACGATGAAATGAGGAAAGAAAAGAGAAAGCCCCTTTATATATAGCACCTATCCCATCATTGGGCACGAAGCACGAAAACGACGCATTTAATGCGCACGACATCCTAAGCAAGGAAAACGGCTAAGGGCAATGATGAAGTAGTTGGAGTTGTTGCAAAACCCTTCGTCTCCTTACAACGCGTGTCCTCGGTGTTAGAAGATCGAAGGCTGGGGGGCAGTTGATGGGACATTTTCGGAATACTCCAAGATAAAGACACGTGTCCTCGGTATCACTGATCCCTGTTATCGAGATCACGTACCCATCGGGTCACAAGTCCCCTCTATCCCGAGGTACTTATCATGGGATTGAGTGGCATCCAGTACACTTTTATGTACCGACACATACCCTCGGTCTGATATGGTACATCGGTCGCTAGGTCTCCCCCTCTCGGATTCAAGATGTACCTATTCCTCGGTTTCCGAGATATACCTCTTCCTCGGCTCTGATATGTACCTCTTCCTCGGCTCTGAGATGTACCTCTTCCTCGGTACTGAGATGTACCCCTCTCATCTAGGATGAAGTTCTCTGCTCCAGCAGAGGCTATTGATGCACTGGTCACTAGCCTAAGCTAGGCTAGGTTAGCTATCATGACCTCGTCTTACACAATTGGTGTCAGAAGGCACAGGAAGGCAGAGGCCACAGCCAATGAGGAATGGACGGGTGGCATATTGTGTCACATTAGAGACAGAAAGACCGCATGACCTTGCTGACACGCGACTTGGGAAAACAAATATTTAATTACACCATTCTCTTGATGAGACTGCATTCAATGCGGTAAGACTCAGAAGTGAAAGGCAATAAATGTCTCTAAGACTGGGCATTTATTGCGTCATCCTCGAGAGGAGCTCATTGAACAGTCGGCAGCCCGATGACACAGTATTGATTGCTCGGGATTCCGAGCAGTTAAAAGAGAAGACATTCCTCATCAGAATCAGTGCGCACACTGCCCGTACCTAATGATCACCTACTGACTACACTGACAGCAATCATGAGTATTTGAGGTATAAATACTCCTCACTAAAGGCAAGGAAATGGAGGTGAAACTCTTACTACAAATTATACTCAGTGTTTTCTTCTTTCTCTCTCTCAAAAACTGACTTGATCGTCGGAGGGGATACGCCAGAAAACACTCCGGCACCCTTCTAACTTGTTCTTCTTTGTTCCAGGAACCTTCCTTCAGCCTTACTGGATCGTTCCTTTGATCCACGAGGGTCTCCCATTACCGTTTCAGGTTACCACAGGATCTCACAGGCTATTCCAAACAGCGGGGTTGACCATTCAATTGACTCACTCGAGTTCACCAAGGGAGATATCTGTTTTCGTTTTTATATTGTGCAAGATCCAGCACGCACAACTGACATAAGGCTGAAATGAATAGTGATACAAACACTGATATATATATATATATACATGTGTGTGTGTGTGTGTAGGACAAGGTTATTGTACCAAAACATTAAATACATGGTTATAATAGTGTAATTCATTTAGAGCCTTGGATTCTAGCATAATTCGTTTATAACTGTAGATTGTCAAAATGCTATATGATGAATAATAATAAAATAAAAAATTACACTTGTTACAAATTTATTAGTTAAGAATGAAAATATGGTTAAAACAATTTAATTTTCAATATCGTACACGAGTGTTATGTTTATGATACCCAAAATGATTTCTAATTGTAAATTCTTATTTTATTTGTTTGCAATTATTTGAAAAATATTAAAATAAAGGGAGGCAATACAATAAAAAAAATTTACACTTGTCACACCTCCATGGAACATCACAGGAAGGTGATACATGTATACTAGCAATATCTCGTGACTAAAGTTACTGTACACTGAATTATAACACTGCATGTATTGGAATGTGTGTTATGGAGTGTGTGTGTTGGGCTTTTAAAATTTGGGAGAGAAAAGTGTGTATAAGATATGTAAAATTTGGGAGAAAAAATATATCTCATAAAGTCAACCATCTATCTGATTTATTGTATAGATAATAACACATACGAATATTGGTGTAAATGATTGCAAACAAGTGAGTTAGTGAGAAAAAGAAATATGAAAGTCCACAAAGACTAAGAGGAAAATTTATACAGCGGTTCTTGACAATTAATTACGGTTAAGTAAAATCAAAGAGGCAGTTATGGATAGGTAAGAAGCACAAAGTATGATAATTTTAATTTATTGATACAATTTATTAACTTAATCCTATATAATTATTGGATTTATGGTAAAACTATGGGATATATTGGAACTCACAATTAATTTAATAATTGTGATGTATTCTATCAACAAATTAAATCTAAATACTATTATTGTTATAAATACATTCCTAAGCATCCTTGTGCAGTGAATATCAACATAATGTGTAGTTCTGGGAGTTTGTCCTCTGTGCGTGCCTGGGTGTTATGTGGAGTCTTAGTTGATTATAACCCACAGTTCCACACTTCAGTTTGATAGTTGTCTCTCAGTTTTTCCTCTTTTCTAATGGCCCTTTGGTCTCTTCTGCTTCTAGGACTTCTTGTATTGGCAGCTAGAGTGATGAGCCTAGAGAACATTACAGATGAAGATGCAATGGAGATGGAACAAAAGGAACACTTGGGGCTTTTTGATGCTTTGGGTTCACTTCTAGAGGACCCCACTTGGCCCCAAATGCACCCAAAGCCATGTACTGACACTCCTTGGCCTGGTATTGAGTGTGAGATTGAGCGAGACCCTCCAATCTTTCATGTCACAAGAATTCACATTGGTCCTGACATTCTCACCCCACCTTGCAAAACTTCTGCTAAGCTCTCACAATCTTTGCTCAAGTTACCTTACCTCAAAACCCTCTCTTTGTTCAGCTGTTTCACATCATCACCAGTCTCTCTATCTCCATTTCTCTTTGGTTCTGCATTCTCTTCCTTAGAGCACCTATCCCTTGGGTCTAATCCAAGCCTTTCGGGAGATATTCCACCAAGTATAGCAGAGATTGTAAGCTTAAGGGTTCTTTGTCTGTCACAAAACAGTCTACAAGGGGAAATCCCAAAGGAGATTAATGGGTTGTTCAATTTGGAGGAACTTGACCTCAGTTACAACTTCTTTAGTGGCTCAATCCCTCAAGAGATTGGAGGGATGAAAAGTTTGACCATTTTGAATCTCAGCTGGAATAGTCTGAAAGGTGAGGTGCCTTGTTCATTGGGTCAGCTTCAGCTTCTCCAAAAGATTGACTTGAGCTCAAACAAGCTCCAAGGAAGAATACCATCTGATTTAGGGCACTTGAAGAGCTTGGTTTTATTGGATTTGAGTCATAACACTTTGAGTGGGCCAATCCCCGAAACCCTATCAGGTTTGGAGCAATTACAGTACTTGATGCTTGAAGACAACTCTATAAATACAGGGATACCCATATTTATTGGGGCACTGATGGGGCTCAATGTGTTGAGTTTATCTAGATGTGGGCTAGTAGGTCCTATACCCACCTCATTTTTCAACTTGAAAAACCTTACTGCACTTTCATTGGATAACAACAGTCTCAATGGGACAGTTTCTCCTAATTTAGGAACACTCCCAAATCTTGATCAACTAAATTTGAGCCACAATCAGTTCAGTGGAGAGCTGCAACTCCCAGAAGAGTTCATTGAGAAGCCTGGGAAGAGGTTAGATGTGAGAGGAAACAATGGGCTCTGCAAAAAGCACCAGATATACAGTAACAAGAAAAGTTCATTCTCTCTCCCAGCTGATGACTCCAAGAAAATGAAGCCAGTTTGGTACGAGGGTGACATGAGTTCAAGCTCGCCAAAGTTTGATCAAAAGTTCGTCTTTCCTTGTTTGTTTTTCCTAGTTTTGTTTGCTTGATTGATGTACCCACTATAAAAGCTATTTTTTTATTCCACCTTTTTATTTCAAAAAATGTGATACGTCCAAAATATTTTTATTTTGTTATTTTTTTGACATCTTTTTAAAGCATGCGACTTTCAATTGTAATTGCAAATCGCAATGATTTTGTACTTAAGTCCATATCAATACCACTTACTAGCCAAATGATTTATTCTCAGAAGGAAAATGAATAGCATTTTGGATCTGGGTTATATTGCTACAATTTTATAATATTGAGAATTTTGATGTTTAAGGGTGCAAATTTATTAGGGTATAAGGTGTAATTTATCCAAAGTTATTTTAGTTTTTATTCATAAATGACTCATTGTTTGTTTGTAACCCTCTATTTTCTGGATTTTGTCAATTTTCTTGGAAAGTGGTTTCTTTTTCGATTACCACTCATGGGTAGTGCAATAAACGAAGATTAATGCTAGCTTTGTGTTATAGAAGTGGCAGTATAGATAGACACATGGGTAAAAGAGCTTTGGCTTTGTCCTTTTTGGTATCTTTCTTTCTACTCTTCTTCAACAAGTAAAAGGCTGTGTCTTGAGTCAAATCAGTGAGTGTTGCTGTCTGTTCCAGCTTTTCAGAGGGCAACAAGGTTGGGTCAATATTAAAGAGGGGGTCACCTTTGACAAGAAAACTCGTACGATCTCTGCAACTACATAGTGTGTGATATATACATACATATATATATATAGAGAGAGAGAGATATTGACAATCAAAAGTAATTATCTCCAAGTTGGTTCTCCAATATTCTAGCCCCTAATTTGTCTCTACTACTAACTGGACAGATAGACTAGAATTCTTGTAAATATGTGTTTGTATCTTGATAGTTATAGTTTCCTTATAGTTAGTCGATCAGTCCTAAACTATAGGATCTAAAGCTTTGTACAGTGACTATTTATGTCCAGCCAATAATAAAAAAAGATTATTTGGAGTATTCTCTTCAAAAACTTTATATTTTTGACTTGGTATCAGAGCTGATATTATTATCCATTCTATATCATCACAACTTGAATTCTCATATATCCCTTGCACCATGACTAATGACAAACCCGAATCATCCGTTGTACTAGTTATCCATGTTCAATCAGAAAACCCCAGTTTCACAACTAATGTCATTCTTACCGAAACCAATTATGATGTCTGGTCTCAAATCATGGAAATGCAGATTGCAGGACGTGAGAAGCTTGAATATCTTATGAGTAAAACATCTCCGAAGGTTACTGATACTTCCTATGTGAAGTGGTATGCTGAGAATCAAAAGGTCAAAGTATGGTTACTGACCTCTATGTCACAGGAGAATATGAAATGCTATCTTAGATTGCCTACTGCACGTGAAATCTAGACTGCTCTTGCCAAAGCATTCTATGACGGGGCAGATGAATTGCAACTTTTTGCACTGAATCAACGAGCATTCTCTACCAAACAGGTTGGTCGTCCTCTTTCCACCTATTATGGTGATCTGATAGAAATTTTTCAAGAGCTAGATCATCGTGATAAAATTGTCATGAAAGATCCCGATGATGTTATTGCCTATAAAAAATCAGTTGAGAGGCTGCGGGTGCATATTTTTCTGAATGGACTAGATGCAGAATTTGAACAAATTTGAGGTGAGATTCTCAAGAGAGATCCTGTACTAGATCTTGAAGAAACTTATGTGTATGTTCGTCGTGATTTTTTTTCGTCGAGCTGCACTAAATGGTGAACTTGAACATTCAGAGCCATCTGCTATGGTAGCTCGTCGAGTCAAGTATCAACAACTGCAAACAAACCCGAAACCAGATCGAACATCTATTCCACTGAATCATGATCATAATCAGCCGGTTGGATCACAAAATCGCAACTACGAAATAGGAGCTGCACGACCAGAACGTGTGTGTATTCATTGTGGTGGAACCGGATACACTAAGTCACGGTGCTATGAATTGATTGGATATCCAGAATGGTGGGATTTTGCCAAAGCACCTCGCAAACGAAATTCAAAGACAAATCATCATGTTTCTGCTGCTGTGGTTGAGCCTAGTCATGCTTCCACCAGTCATCCTGAGAAAGCTTCCTCTTTCATTGCTACTTCTAGGAATGTGGATAAGGCTATTCATACCTCTGTTAGTCATAGTGAATGGATAATTGATTCAGGTGCCATAAATCACATGACCTTTGACAATAATCATATTCAATCCATAAAATCCTCAAACCAACATATAGTGTCCACAGCCGATGGTACCCCCTCTTCCGTGTTAGGAGAAGGTTCAATTTCTCTTACAAAAAATTTGAATTTAGATTAAGTTCTGATTGTCCCTTCCCTTAATCATAACTTATTGCATGTTGCTCAAATAACCCATACTTTAAATTGTGTTGTGATTGTTTGGCCTAACCTTTGTGTCTTTAAGGACATTCAGACTCGGAAGACAATTGGTTATGGTACTAGGAGAGGGAAGCCCTACTATCTGGATCTAATGCCGACAAGCTCAAATCAGTTGGCTCAAGTTTTTTCAGCTAATATACCTGATAAACATCAAAGTTCAAAAATATGGTTGTGGCATAGGCGCTTAGGCCATGCATTTTTTGGATATTTACAGAAATTGTTTCCACAACTTTTTTCGCAATTGACTGTTCCAGATTTTAAGTGTGACATTTGTGAACTGGCTAAAAGCCATCGTGTTCCATTTCCCATTAGTATGAATAAAAGTCATGTTCCTTTTATGGTTATTCACTCTGATGTATGGGGGCTTGCAAATACTTCTTCTTTGAGTGGAACACATTGGTTTGTTTCATTTATTGATGATCACACTCGTATGACTTGGATTTGCTTGATGAAATCAAAAATTGAAGTGAGTTCCCTATTTTAGCAATTTCACAAAATGATAGCAACTCAATATCAATCTAACATTCAAGTTATCCGTAGTCATAATGGAGGCGAGTTTATCAATCAAGACTTGAAATAGTACCTGAATTTTCATGGCATTGTTCATCAGACTACTTGCCCTTCCACCCCTCAACAAAACGGGGTAGCCGAATGAAATCTTCACCTTCTTGAGGTGGTTCGTGCTTCCTTGTTTGAAGCTCACATGCCCACCAATTATTGGGGTGAAGCTATCACTGTTGTAGCCTACCTTATCAACCGTGTACCTTCTAGTTCCCTACAATTTCAGACTCCCTTTGATGTCCTTCATCACACTGTAAGTGCTCCTACCAAACCAAATTTGTCCCCTAAATTTTTTGGATGTATAGCCTTTGTACATCTTCACAAAGGCTTGAGAACTAAGTTGGAACCTCGGGCACTTCAATGTGTATTTGTTGGCTATGCCTTGCATCAAAAAGGCTATTGGTGTTATCACCCCCTCTCAAAAGCTTTATGTTACCCTTGATGTGGTCTTTCATGAAAATGATATGTATTATTCTGAGTCTTAACTTTAGGGGGAGAATAGAGATGAAGTGCAGACTTTACGTCATCCTTTGGACAACTTGGATTTTATAAGAGGTGATAACTTGGAAACTAGTGATGAATGTCCAGGTGAGACTGTGATGGTCTAGAATTTTTTGAGGATGAGAATCAGGGTCAGATGGAAGTTCAGAATCAAATGGAAGTGTCGTCAATCTCTCACTATGTACCAGCTAACCAATTGCCTTCTCCAGCCGATTCTATGCCTGAGTCTCATGAAAATTCTGAATCTGAATCTCACCTAAAAGTGTTACCCAATCGAGTCACACGAGGGAAACCCAAAGTTAGATATGAACCTGTCCTCAACTCTAAATCTAAATATCCCATAAATAACTATGTATCCTACCATAGATTGTCAAAGAAAAGTATGACATTTGTGAACCAATTATCTGTTGTATCTATTCCTAACAATGTGCAGGAAGCCTTGACAGATCCCAGATGGAGGGAGGCAATGAATGAAGAAATGAAGGTCCTTCAAAAGAACTCAACGTGGGAAGTTGTTGACTTGCCTGAAAGGAAGATACCTGTCGGATGTAGGTGGGTCTTCACCATTAAATACAAAGCCGACGGAACTATTGAACGGTGCAAAGCAAGACTTGTCGCCAAGGGATACACTCAAACATATGGAATTGATTATATGGAGACATTTGCACCAATGGCCAAAATTAATACTGTTCGTATCCTATTATCTCTGGCGGTGAATCTTGATTGGCCTTTACACCAGTTTGATGTAAAGAATGCATTTCTGCATGAAAATCTCCAAGAAGAAGTCTATATGGAGTTGCCCCCTGGCTGTAATCTATAGACTGAAGGTAATAAACAAGTCTGTAGGTTGAGAAAATCCCTATGTGGTTTGAAACAGTCTTCTAGGGCATGGTTTGGAAGGTTCACAAGTTTTATGAAGTCTATTGGTTACAAGCAAAGTAACTCAGAACACACTCTATTCTTGAAGCATAATGAAGAACAAATCACAGCTCTTATTGTGTATGTTGATGATATGATAGTGACTGAAAATGATCTTGAAGAAAGGAAAACACTACAGGAGCATCTTGCCCGTGAGTTTGAGATGAAGGATCTCGGTGAATTGAAGTATTTCCTTGGAATTGAAGTGTCAAGATCGAAGAAAGGTATTTTTCTGTCACAAAGAAAATATGCCTTAGACTTACTGAATGAAACTGGTATAACAGCATGTAGTCCAGCTAGCACTCCTATGGAAGAAAATTTGAAACTATGTGTGCATTCAAATCAAGTTCTTGCTAACAAAGAACACTATCATAGACTGGTTGGAAGATTAATGTATCTTGCACATACTCGACCTGATTTAGCTTATGCGCTGAGTGTGGTTAGTCAATTCATGCAATCCCCAAGCGAAGAACATATGAATGTTGTCATCCTTATCTTACGCTACTTGAAGTCATCTCCAGGAAAGGGAATTTTATTCACAAAAGGAGAAAGTTTGAATATTAACGGCTATACAGATGTAGATTGGGTTGGGTCAGTTCAAGATAGACATTCTACATCTGGCTATTTC